TAGCTCAATATGAGTTGTATTAACTTAAGACAAAGTTAGATATATTTTCTTAAAACCAGATTACTTTTCCAAAACATGCTTGAAAAGAAGAAGCTGTTTATACTTTCTTGAGATTCCTTTTTTCCAGTGTGATGCTGAAAGTTGAAGCCTGCAGTACACATACACTGAGAACTGACTTTTCAGTTAGGTAGGAGACACCTTGAGTCCAACACATTTGAATATTCATAGATTCTGGACTTTAAAATGATGGATTGAGGGAACAATGTGGAAAACCCATATCAGGACAGGAAATGTTATCCAAAGCAGAATTTTTAAACGTGTTTTAATGCACGTCTGGAGAGGATCTTTTTACCAGTCTGGCCACAGTCCTGAGTCCCTGCATAGTCCTTAAAAAGGTATTATACAAGTGAACCAGTGCTTGTTTGATAGTGTTTTTCACAAGCATACTGCTTTAATTTTTTATGCAGTTCTGTTGAATAATATAGCGCATGGAAATGGAATTAGCTAAATGAGCCACCTTAGGAGACTAAAGTTGAGAGAGCAGGAGACACATTGGCTTATTTTCAAGATGGCAGAACCTCAGCTAAATATAACTTGTTTATGTGAAGTTCTGTGATGAGTTTCAGGATAGAAGTAGCTGACATACTGGTGCAGGGACAACCAACCCACCTAATTTTTCCCCCTCCTTTTCAGTCTTGTTAAATCCGGATTTGCACATGTAAAGGCTTATCTTTCCACCAGTGCTTACCACATACCAACATAATTGTGGGAAAGCTCTGATTTTACACTATTGTCTCATTTTTATTTTTTGACATCACAGTTTTTAAAGCTCACTTGAAATTTTCCTCTGCTTTTAGTTTTCATGGTATAGTCACACAAACTATCTTATTGCAGTTTTCTTTTAAACAAAGCAAAAAAACTCAGTACTTCTGAGGCAATGTTCTGTGCATTGTATCACTGCAGTCATAGATACTATTTCTACTGTACTACTACTGAAATGATGATCACAACTTTCTCGTAGATTTTGGCACATAAGCACATACTGTAACAGAACAGGCTTGTGGGTGGACTTTGTAATGGACAAAAAGATTAAAAGAGCATAAGGAAAAAAGAATATCAAAACACCATTATCCTCCCTGACCACCCGGCCTTGTCTTTTCCTTTAGGAGCTATCACAGGAATAATCACCAGCACCGATCTGTAACCTCTTACAAAAAAGAGACGAAGGGGGACCAAACTTTGTAGTCATTTAAGTTTGTCCTTGAGACTGTAGCCAAAGTGTAAGGTATCACACATTTCATTCAGCCACTGCCTCACAGTGGGTACTTCAGATATCTCAAAAGCTGAAGTATAATTTGCTTTTTTATTGTGAGGCCAAAGGCAATAGTGTTGTTGGAATGCAGTCAGTGTGGCCTGTGCTACTGAAATGATGAGTATTATCAGCATGGGATCTGGCTGCAGTGTTGCATCTAACAAAGTAGAAAAATATAGCTTGGTTTTAGAGCAGTAACTCTGTGCAAAACCTTGAATTTGATTATGAATTGTGAGGCCCTTTTCTAACATTTAATTTAGGTAATCAAACACTCAGAACATTCTCCCATGCTAACTTGCTGACCTCCATGAAGAGTGACTTAAAGCCCATGAAAACATTTTCCACAACAGGTATTTGTGACTAAATGAGCAACATGGTTAAAGCTGCACTTTAGCATCTTTTAACTCATTGTTTTGGTTTTACAGCAATTTTAGTGTTTGGTTCAGTCTCATGGCTTTCATCAACCTTCTTGCCAGCAGTAAAAGGCAGCTGTGTTCAACAAAAAAGACACTACTGCCCAAACGGCAGGCAGATACCGGCCCTCATGCAAGACTTTTGGATAATTTTTGGGTTTTGGGCCACAGGCTACCTTATTGAACCACCATGTTTCTACAGTAGCCCAGATCGGACAAACCAAACACTGGCTCTAGATAGGGCCTTTTTGTGAGTTTCTTGGCCACCATAGTTTTTCCTACAAACTTCACAGCCCATTCTCATTCCCAGGTTGTCAAATACATGTGCAACTGGTGTTCAGTTAGTTGCAATCTGCAGTTTCACCGCTAGATTTCACTAAATCCTACACAGTTCTTATAAATTGCTTGTTTCACGCTGATGAATTCTACCTATTCTTAAGGAGGTGTGCATGCATGAGATTTCATTATCAGCAAAATTGAATTGTCTAAATTAGCAACATAGGGCAAAATATTCCACGACTGAAGAGCCAGAGGTACAATTTCACACCACACTGTACTTCTACAGAAATGAGAGAATGATAAAGTAATGGAATATAATATTCATAGGTAGCCGTTTTTATCTACAGATGCCTCAGGAATCCATGGAAAATGTTGAACCATGTTTCTCCTGTAGCTCACAGACAATCCAAACATTAGCTCTAAACATATATTTGATGAGATTTCTGTATCATATTTGAACTCAAAATTCATTATGATAAAGGCACTATGATTGCAGGTGAAATTAGTGTTTTCCCCACTGTGGAGAATGTAGAAAATACAAATATGTGTGTCTCATTCAAAGTTGGCAAATAATAGTGTGTTCATTGAGTGCCCATCACTTACATTAAGCTTGTTAAGGAAATTGATATTAAGGGCCTTCAAAGTCTCAGTCAAGTGATTTATAAATAATCAATATTGGTACTTGAAGAAAATGAGTTTAGAAATCTCATTTATCAGGTCCAGTGCTAGGGAAGTTTTATTTGTAAGTACATTAAGTTGTTGGTTGTAGTTA